GTGTGTGTGTGTGTGTGTGTGTGTGTGTATGCACACACAGTCTGAACACAGTCCAGGAATGGAGCTGCGAGAGGAAAATTCTGAGAACACTCCAAGAACAAGAGTCTTGTGACCTTGGTTCCTTCAAAACATGGGATTGTGCCAGGTGCTGGTGACACACGCCTTTAATGCCAACACTTGGGAGGCAGAGGCAGGAGGATCTCTGTGAGTTCGAGACCAGCCTGGTCTACAACAGCTAGTTCCACAACAGCCTCCAAAGACACAGAGAAACCCTGACGCGAAAAACCAAAAAACCAAAACAACAAAATAAACGTGGAATTGTTCTTGAAATGCAGTTTCATGCTCTTCCCAGGTGTAGCATATAGGAATGAGTTTACTTCAGATTATTCATCATTGCTTGCTGCTGTTATTCAATTAGATGTTTAAACTATTCTTTATCTGCCTCTGTGGAAAAACATGATTTTGCCATGTGCAGCTTGTCCTTGTGATTGTATACAGCCTGAAGTTATGAGAACTTGTGATTTTTATTAACCCTCAGAGTATAAATCCTCTGATGCTCTAAATAAAGCTGACTACTGCATGAGACTGTAGTCTGCCATTTATCTGATCTGTGCTCCTAGGTCTCACTACCTCTAGAGTGGACATGTGGACACACACACACACACACACACACACACACACACACACACACACACGAAATGCTGCCCATGAGGCTGGAGAGATGGTTCAGCTTTTAAGAGCACTTCTTCTGCCCCTGCATGGTGGCTCACAACTGTCTGTAACTCCAGTTCCAGGGGACTGAAACCCTCCTCCCTCACCTCCAGGCATACCTACAGTCCACAGACAAACATGTGAACAGAAAATTCATACACATAAAATAAAACAAATAAGTGTATTTTTAAAATGTTGGCACAGGGCTAGGGAGATAGAGACAGGCAGATCCCTAGAGCTTACACCTACATGAGAGGTTCCAGGTCAATGAGGGACCCTAACTAAAGAATACCATTGTATTTACCTAAAGAATGATGTGGAAGATTGTCCTCCAGCCAGGCATTTGTCGGGGAGACAATAAATGGGACACACATCTGTTCACCTCAGAAAGGGAACCTCCAACAGTCTAAAGTCTGACTTGGTGAACCACTAACTTTTTACTGGAGTTACTAACAGGAATATGGGTGAAGGGTTACTCACAAGGAGCAGGGAGAACTCATAAGCAACTGCATCACCGAAGCCCATCTCAGCATGGGTGATGTTCACAGAGGCTGCAGGTAGCTTGATAGTGGGAGATGCTCTTTCCCCTGAACTTAGGTTTTCCAGTCTCCAAGCCCAGCAGTTGTTTACTCCTTCTTATACTGCTAGTGAGGCCCTCAAAAATCTTTCAGTTTTCTGTTTGCCCAGACATATGTCGGCTCACAAGACTTCCTGATCCCTCCTGCACAGAATGTTTCAATGGGAGGAAACCGTCATACAAAAGCATGCAGTGTACATGTGCCTACATTAAAACATGTGTGGGCAGACACATGCCCACACACATGCACTTACCGTGCCAAACCCAAGAAAATAAACTCTTTCATTTGCAGCAGCATAGATGAAATATTCATGACGTGAAATCAGCTAGGCCTGCACAGGACCAATTCTCTATCTTCTCACATGTTGTAGGAATCTAAGTCAATCACATTCATGGTAGCAGAGTTGAATGATGTACCTGGAAGGTATAGAGAATGGAGAGATGGTAAAATGAGTTGAATTTTCAATTAGATGGGAGGGACTCTTTGAGATTACTGCAATGGACGGGGACTACTATTAACAACAGGCTGTCAAATGTTTCAAAATCTCTAAGGAAACATTCAAATGTTCACATCAGAAACACCAGTATTTTAGCTGTAAGGTAAGTTAATTCTCTTGATTTCATCATTCTATATTGAACACGTATAATACTGTGCCTCCATATGCATATGTAATTTTTCAACGTACAAGGAGATAGTGTAACTAAAGTACCAAATGTGAAAACAAGACGTTGTATTTGCCTTCCTTTCTAGTATTCTATCATTCATATCTGTCCTTCCATACAGAAGCCCTGTGTAAAGGGAACTATGAATCGGGATTACTGAAGGAAATGTCATGAATACAAATGAACCCCAGTCAATAGTCCTTTTTCCTGGCACCAAGAGCAATACTAGTTTCCTAGTTCTGATCAGTGAATCCACAGCTTGTTCCACAGTGCCTGTTTTCTTGAAGTTTGTTTTCTCTTTTGACACCACTAAGGAAAATGGGGAGACAAACTGACAATTTCTGGTTCCCCAGATCCTGCCCAAACTATAGGTACATTAAGATTCATTGGAGCTGGAGAAATGGCTCAGCTCTTAAGAGCACTTGCTGCTCTTCCAAAGGATTTGAGTTCAGTTTCCAGCACCCACATCAGGTGGCTCACAAGCACAAATTACTTCAGCTCCAAGGTATTTAACACACTCTTCTAGCCTCTGTAGGCATCTGCAAACATGCCATACACATATAGATCAAATACCAATGCATATACTTTTAAAAATAATAAAAATACAGCCTTTTAAAATTCATGTTCCTGTCTCTGTCACTCTCTCTCTCTTTCTACACACACACAGTGGTTTTATCAATGTATTTATATTCATGTGGAAGACCATTTTCATCCAAGCCAGGCCCTATAGCTGTGGGTTCCAGTAACACTTTCAGGTCCCCCAATTTCAGTTCAGTATTAGGTATCAGGAGAACATTAGTGGCAACTCCAGGGAATTTATTTTAGATTCACATTCAGGTGCCCACCCCACAACTGAACAATCCAATACTCTTTGTGTAAACCACAAAAGTTTGGAGGCACAGGGGAATTTGAGGAGCACTAACTTTAACTGCCTAAACTTACAGTTATTTCTCTAGTGAACAAAGCAGCAGATTGGATTATTCAAAGGAATTAAAAATGTGTTTAGAGTTTAGGGCAGATACACAGTTCACAGTTGAGAGTTTGAATTGACTGGGGAAAACTGTGAATTTCAAATGATCATGAGAATAAGCCCATCCCTGAGTTCCTGCATTACTGCCCTAACTAGAGATTATGGGCTCTTTGTGGAGTGGAAAACCATATGTGTCAACAAGTAAAATAGATTCTTTTACAGGCATCCTGCTATTGCATAGGCAAATGGTCTGACCAGGATTAAGCTGTTTGGGGACAAAACTTATACCCTTTCAGTTCATGATGGTGCATAGGAACATAAATTTATCAGAAACATGCCTGAAAGAAAGTTTGACCTTATTTTATTTCCAAAGTATGTTTATGCACCACACCAAAGTTCCTGTCCCAGACTCCTACAGGGCAGCCCAGTGATTCAGGATAAGTTTTCCTGACACAATGTGGATCAGCCTCCAAACCATTATTTTTATAAGTCAGTGTTGCAAAGCAGATGGAAACTGGTAGGCTGCAGAGGGCAAAAATAAAGTGCTATCCTTTTGCTCATCAAGAGCTTCAAAGGCAGTACTCACAAAAGCAGCCACTAGTACTTTTTTAAAAAACACAAATGAACCTGTCTACCAGATGGGCTGGAGAGATGGCTTAGCGATTAAGAGCACTGACTGGTCTTCTAGAGGACCTGGGTTCAAATCCCAGCACCCACATGACAGCTCACAACTGTCTGTAATGCTAGTTTTAAGGGACCCGAACCTGTCTACCAGCATCGGAAATGGAAACCTAGGCACTAAACTCATTCTGTCCAGACACAACACAGATGTGTGTTCTGGCTGGCAATATCTTTCTTACTGATCTTATCTTCCCTTAGTCTGTCCACTGCTGCCCTCCCTTAGATTCTGTCAGGTACTCACCAATAACTGGAAGATGCTCCAATCCTATCAACACTAGAAATAGCAATATGCTTCCTCATGAGACTTTACTGCTTTGACCCTGTGGAGTTCCTGAGTGAGCCAACAGGTTCTTGCACACAAGCATTCTTATACTAAAACATACAAAATGCCTAGCTTACCCCTTTCATATTTGTTAACATTTCCCCAAATCTGTGTTTGAGGTACACTCTTTTTTTTCAGACAGGGTTTCTCTGTATTGCTTTGGAGGCTGTCCTGGAACTCACTCTGTAGACCAGGCTGGCTTTAAACTCACAGAGATTCGCCTGCCTTTGCCTCCCAAGTGCTGGGATTAAAGGTATGTACCACCACTGCCTGGCTAAGGTGCATCTTATCATTCATTCCAAAATGGGAATTCATTTCCCTCCTCAGTGAGCAGTATATCGTGACCCATTTTACTTGCTGAATCAACCCTTGATTTCAATGTACTATCATCATGCTAATCCTGAAGCTGTACCTCTTTAACTTTCATCATATACCTAAGCAGCAGAGACGTTTTATAATCTTAGTTCCTGGTATAGAATCCCCACTGTTCCACAATGTTTGTACTTTTGTGTGTTTGTTTTTTGTTTATTTTTACGTAGGACATCAACATGCATCCCTGCCTGCCCTCACACCCACAATCACCTTACTGCCTAACAGTCCCAAGTGACAGGATTACAGGTTTAAAAACTATATGCTCAGCTGATACTTTCGACAACACAAAGCCATTTGGTTTGTTAAACCAAATATAAGACCCCCAACTGTAAGACAATTAGGCAAGAAGGAAGAAAATGGCATGACATTGTGTATAAAGAATTTAGATTTGAACCCCAAAGCAACAAAATTAATTGCGGTGATATTTTGTTTATGATCTAACAAATAAAGCTTGCCTGAAGATCAGAGTGCAAAGTTAGCCCCACTAGTTAACCATGGAGGCCAGGCAGTGGTGGCACACACCTTTAATCCCAGCAGTTACACTAGTTAGCTATAAAGACCAAGCAGTGGTGGCCCACACCTTTAATCCCAGTACTCAGGAAACAGAGACAGATCAACTTCACCCTGAGCTACACGAGACTGATCCAGTCTAAAAGAGAAACAGAGCTCACAGAAAGATGATCTCAGCACTTGGGATCCTACACCTTTAATCCCAGCACTAGGGAGTAATACAAAGCGGGAGAAGACAGGAGCTCAGTGCAGTCTGAGGTCTGATGGAGACAGATGCAGTCTGGAGATGAAGTCTGAGGACAGGATCGCCCCTTCGGTCTGAGCATTGGTTGGGATGACAACTCTCTAGTTGCTGGGTCTTTGCTTCTCTGATCTTCAGCTTTAACGCCAATATCAGTATCTGGATTTTTATTAAGAACAAGTAGAATTTATGCTACAAGTAACCATAGATAAAGAGGATTATGCCAAATTAAGGCACTTCTGAAGAGCAATTAAGAAAACAATTAAGAGTACAGAGACAACATCCTGATGGTAAGAAAACTGAAAAATTAACTACTAAGAGGGTTGATGTCAGTATCTATAAGGAACTCAACTCTATATGCAGCAGAAGAAAAATGGCTTTAAAAAATCTCAATAGACTTCTAACAGACCTTAGCACAACTGACACCATGTTTGAGGCACCATTCTGATCTTAAAACGCAGCAAGTAGGCCCCAACACCTGCCAAAATGGAAACAAACTCCTAGACCATTAAAGACCTAGTCTGTAGTTCCAAGAAAGTCCCTTGTGAACCTTGCTTTCTGTCTTCTGTAGTTCTGCTTCTTGCTAACTGAAATGTAACCAGGATGTGTTTTTTGTGCATAAAATTCAAAGGCCCATAAGGCTCAGGGCTGCAGGATTTGAGCAAGTTCCCTGTGCAGCTGCGAGCTGGCAATACACACTTTCTTTTCACCTTTAAGAGTGTCTAGGTGGTCGTCTCTGGTGAGCTTAGGCTGCAAGAATATCACTACTGGTGTCTTATATAGGCCCATTTTGCCTTCAAATTGTGATCTTCCTTCCTCTGCTTCCAATGTGCTAAAATGACAGGCAAACCAGACCGGGCTCTATTAATGATAAGCTATTTCTATTATGCTGAGGAGACAGCTCTCTCAGTCCTACCACTACTGGGCAGACATAAGCAAATCCCTGGAGCTTGCTGGCTAGTCAGACTAGCATAACTGGTGAATCCCTGTCTGTAGGACACCCTGCCTCAAAAAGCCAGGTGAACTGCTGGGCAGTGGTGGTGCACGCGTTTAGTCCCAGTCTACTCTACAGAACAAGCTCCAGGACAGGCTCCAAAGCTACAGAGAAACCCTGTTTTGAAAAAAAAGATGAAACTTTTACACACCTTTAGTCTCAGCACTCAGTAAGCAGAGGCAGAGGCAGGCAGATCTTTTTAGAGTTTGAGACCAGAGAGAGCTATATAATAAGACTCCAACTCAAAAAACAAAAACTAAGGTGGATGATGCCTAAAGGAGGACACAGATTTCACCTTTGGCACACACAGGCATCAGTATGCATGTACATACACACAAAAATTCTTCCATGTCACATATAAACAAAGTCCTTTGGGAGTGTTCTAGAATTCCTAGAGTTCCCCGCTGGTATGAGTCCCCAGGAATTAGAATTACCACAAGAAATAGCATTTGGGCAGTGGTAATTGTAAGCATTTTGATTATTTGGATGGGATGGACAGGGATGGATTATGGTACCCTGGAGCCAAAGAATACTGAATGTTATAGCTCAGATGGACAGGTGTTCTGGCACTTGGGAGCCAAGGACTACCCCAGGTCACAGTAAGCATAGCAGCTTACAGCCCTGCCTCAAGGAAAGGCTCTGCTCAGGGTGTGTTTCTTTGGCTGGCCCCTTTTCCCTACATCAACCCAAAGATGCTGGTACCTGGTACTTGTTACATGAAGGAAGACCTATTTCTCTGTTCTGGTAGCCTGAGTCCATAGCTCAAACAAACTATAGACACATATTTCCTGATATTTGCTTCATTTTTTTCTATAATCTGTAAGACTGCTATGGGAAAGGCAGAGACAGACTGAGAAGCTATTCCCTCTGTTTTAATAAAATAATAAACAATATTTTTGTTACTATGAGGGAGCATTCTGACCCAGGTCAGCAGGAACACTACTTGGTAATTTGCCCTTCAGTAACACTTTCAAGTTTACATGTGAGCTCTGTTCCAGGCTGTCTTCAAATGTCTGGCATTGCGGCATAAAGTTGTGATCTAGAAATGGCCACATTGACAGCTATGCTGATACACGTGTGAGACACAGACTGGATAGGAATGGTAACTCAACAGTTCTCCAAGAGTGTTCCTCTGGCCATACTTTTTCTTGGAAATTGTTAGAAATTTAAATTCTGCTGCCCCCCCCACACCTTTAATCCCAGCACTTGGGAGGCAGAGACAGGTGGTTCTATGTGAGTTCCAGGTCAGCCTGGTCTACAGAGCGAGTTCCAGGACAGTCTCCAAAATAATACAGAGAAAGCCTGTCTCGAAAAACCAAAAAACAAAAAAATTAAACTCTGGAATACATTCCATAAAAACTGATAAAAGGACTCAATTAGCGAAGATCATGAGTCCATGTTTTAAGAAGTCCCCCAGATAAATAGGATACTCAGAGAAAGTTAAGAAATAGTAACTTGGATTACCTCGTACAATCTAGTTCTCTCATTGATAAAGCAGCAAGTTGGACTGTTCAGAATCATTAAATATGCTTAAGGTTTTGATGAGTGCAGTATTTCACGCTGTCAACTGACTTGATTTCACGCTGTCAACTGACTTGGCTTACTAATAAAACAACTAGCACAGAAGAAATCCAAATGCTTAGAGTGTTGTCTCACCAGCAATAAATCACTTTGGGCCTTAAGTATTACTAACCTCCTCCACTTGCCAGTCCCGCCAAGCAGATGCACGGGGAGCTAAAAGCACCTAGGGAAAAAATGTCTGGAGTAAAGTTTCGCTTTATTTTCTGTCCAAAAGATTAGAAAGAGGTCGAAGAAAGCACCCTGCCAATCCTTCCCCCAGGGCAGTCTCCAGGTCCCTCTTTGTGCTATAATTGCTCCCATTCAAAAGTAAATGACAACTTCATAATGTAAAGTGCGAAAATAAAGCCTAATTTTCCCCCTGCTCACAGTCGATAGGGAAGGCACAGAACGAACGAGAGGCAGCATTTCATAATTTGTACCACAAAACAACCATCCCACCAGAGGCCGGATAAATCTGAAATTAAGAGCCCAGATCATTTCATACAAACGCGACACAGGTGTGAGTACCGGCCAGCGACACTTTCTTCCGGAGATTGTTGCTTCGCTTTGTCTTTCAGCGTCCGTCCTGGCATCCTGCTAGTCGCTAACCGTAAACAACCTAAAAAACAAACACCGAGATCAGCACCCCGGAAACAGCGATACACCCCTTTGTGGCGTCATCAACAGTCGCCGCGAGTTCGTTCGGTCTCTTATTCCCCCACATTTCAGTTCCCCCCCTCGTTTCGTTTTTTATGACTGTACGTCTCTAGCCTTGAACCAAAAAGATGCGCTGCGACATCCCGCCTTGTCCTCTTCCCTGACGCCCACCGACACGGCCCTGTGGCCTCCGGAGGCAGCGGCAGCGGCAGCGGCAGCGGCAGCGGCAGCGGCAGCGGCAGCGGCAGCGGCAGTAGCCACACTGGCCCGAGTTCCAGAGGCCTCTGGGAAGTTTGCAGCCCCTGAGAAACTCACGGCATCCTTCCGGTGCTACACAGGACACCATCCGGCCGAGTATCCTGCCGGCATCCGCAACCTGGTCCAACCTCCAGCTACGGTTTGACTCTCTTAGGCGTCGGCGGGCCAGCTCATTGTTGCCGCTTGGGCATATTTTATGCCTAAGCATATAAAATGACTAGCCTGTCCCTTTCTGTTTTGCTCGAGGTTGATTCACAAAGTTATCAATCATTCTGAAGTTGAAATTCATTTTCTTATGGGATAGTTTATCATGCCTCATTTAAACTGCTGGACTAATCTGTCTCTTGGTGTGCCGTTTCTGAGATGTTCACCTTGAGCTTTCAACTCTACCCTCACGTTCCCATCTTTGTCATTTATGTGTGACTTCAACTGAATGCCTTAAGTGTCGGGGCTATTTATTGTGTTTGTGGGCAAGTGTGCCAGGATGCGCTCATGTGGGTGTCAGAAGATACTTCAGGAATTGATTGTTGGGTACTACCTTGTATCTGGAGATGGAACCAAAGCCTTCAGGCTCTCACCTACCGAGCCATCTCTCTGGCCCATAGGGGTTTTTTGAACTGCAGTTTCTGGATTGGAATCGTCACCCACATAGTGTCTTGGGCAAATTAAGGTGTTCAATTTTTGACTTGTTCTTCTATAGAATGAATATACTAGCAGTATCTATAACTAGTGTGCTAGTGAGAATAGAAACACTTTGTAGCACAAAGTTAAGCAATGGTATATCAAAGTAGATATAATTATTTTATATGTATAGGTCTCTTGCTTGCATTTATGTCAGTGTACCACATGGGTGTCTTGCCCACAGAGGAAAGAAGAGGGTGCTGAATTCCCTGAACTGAAGTTATAGAGGGTTTTGAGCCAGCATATGGATGTTGGGAATCCAACTCAGGTCCTCTGGAAGAGCAGGTAGCACTCTTAAGCACTGAGACATCTCTCCAGCCCCATAATTTAACAAAAATTACTCATTTTATTTGCTGTGTATGTAGGGTTGCATGTATGCATGTGTACCACATATTGCCTGGTGACAACAGAGACCAGAAAAGGACAGTACAGATGGTTGTGAGGCACAGTGTGGGTGCTGTGAATCAAATATGGGCCCTCTGCAAGAGCAAGAACTCTTAACTGATGAGCCATCTCTCTAGAACCAGGCAATTATAATTCTTGAAATTGATGGAATAACAGTCTCACTTAACTCCATTGCCCAGGAATATTAAAGATAATAATGGCTATTGGAGGAGTTATAGAGCAGACAATATGGCAGTGCAAAAACCATCGTTGCTTAAACCGCACAATAACACTTTGGTGGTAGTTTAAATATGCTGCCCATTGCTCTCCTTTTGCACTTGTTTTTTGGGAATTTTGTCTTTCTTTTTTCCGTGCCAGAAATTGATTCCGTGACTTCAGGGATCATAGGCTAGTGCTTTCCCATTACATTGTCATCTAATCGTCTTGATTTTTGAAACAGCAGGTTTGAAAATTCATTTCAGTCTGCTAGCAGCAAAATGAATGTCCTGCCAGTTGTCACTAATGAGGAATGATTGGAGCCTATCCTTTAGTACAAATAAACTCAGGTGGATCGTCAGTAAGAGAATTTACTGCAAGAAAGCACAAGGACCTGAGTTCAAATCCCCAGATCTCATGTAAAAACCCAGTAAATCCATATCCATGACATCCAGGCTCAGTGAGAGACCATTGCACTTCTCAAATGTCATCAATAAAAATGGCCATAAAGTCTTTTAAACCCCCCACACACAGAAGAATTGTATCAGTATACATACAGGTCAGGTACCTGGGTTCTCTTTTGAATACAAGGATAGCCACCAATAAAGAACCATCTATCTCCTGAAAACTGGTCGCCTAGGGTAGGAATATAATAACAATGTTCACTAACAGTTCACCTACCAACTCCCTTGATGCCATGCACACCTCAATACTGCCTCTTTTTGTTTGTTTTGTTTTGTTTTTCGAGACAGGTTTTCTCTGCATTGCTTTGGAGGCTGTCCTGGAACTCACTCTGTAGACCAGGCTGGCCTCGAACTCACAGAGATCCACCTGCCTCTGCCTCCCGAGTGCTGGGATTAAAGGCGTGTGCCACCACTGCCTGGTCCAACACTGCCTATTTTACCTCAAGCTACTGGAAACAAAAGTACAAGATCCTCGCCTTGCTATACTTTTGTGGACCATATAGGATAGACCATGATGTTTGTTTAGCAGTGTAATAAACTCTCCTGTCTCCAGCCAATGTGGTATCAATTTCTACAGTATCAGTCTGTAGTTTCAAATGTTGTTGGCTCATCCCTGAGAACACAGGGCGTCCTGTTTTTCCAAGATTAAAACTAAAAGATTTGATTATTTTACCAGAGTTCATAGTTCCCAGGATTTTCTTATTGCTTTCCTTCCATTTGCTCTCATTCCCAATTCCCCCAGACAGTCCAAAGTGCTTCTTAGGGAAGGACCAGTAATTATGGCACATGAAGGGAGAAGATAAATCCTCATGTATTGAAGGTAACTGAGATATACTACCTGGTCCCCATCCTTTAGTAATTTTATAGTTTCTGACCTTCACCCCATTTTGGCATTTCAGGGCCTGTTTGCCTGCACACCCAGGAAAGCGAGTTTGAATTGCAGGTAAATACGGCAACATCCAACAATATCACACATATGAAGCTGCAAGGCTCTGCATTAAAGTGGCTAATTTTAGGTAGGTAAGGGACAGGAATAGCATGAGCGGCCCTTTTCACACAGCTTTCTCCTTGTTTCTAGCTATTGTCAAACTGGAAAGGTCAGTTCAGTAGAAGTCTAGTCACAGAATCTAAGAAAGAGAATGGGGGAGTCCTGTTTCAAATGCAAAGTGTTGGCAGCAGGAGGACATGCAGAGAAAGATGTCTCACTGACCACCAGAAACACAGAAAGTGAGGAGACTGGTGAGTGCTCTGTTCACCTTCCATCCCAGAACCCTATTCCAGACTCTTTAGTTCCCCTTAGTTTCCCTAACCAACCCAGTTATTTTCCTTCTGGACAACTTGCCATGATCACAGAGTTCTGTACCAGGTGTTCCTGCTTACAAACATGGATAGGTGAGCGAAGAAGATGTCCCTAAATGATACACTGGAAAGGGGGATGCACTAAAGTATCTCTGCTTGTAATCATGACCTACCTTTTGAAACAAATCCATATATAATGCATGTTGTATTCATGTTACGTAGTATGTGGTAGGTATGATTCTTAAAGGCTGTCCCTGTGTTGTAATATGTACTGCCATTCCACATTGTAAGGACACATACTGCTGATGACCAGTTTAGATACTTTTCAAAGTATGAGGGCCCCGATCCAACAGCTAAATAGCTGATAACTCCAGTTGCTCCTTTCTCTGGAGAATTTCATTCCACTGAGGAGATTCCCTGCCTGTAAGACGACCCTGTGCACCTGTGTCCAATGTCTGCCTGATGGTGAGGGTTAAAGGTACAATGATTCCTTAAGAATAACAGTTCATGTTGCATAACCTATTCCAGAGCCTCTCCTCAAATAATGGCAAAAGCAGTGATAAAAATGTATCCTTACCAGATGGACCTGGTGGCACACTCCTGTGATTTCCAGTACTCATTGTCAGAGGCTAGAAGATAAGGAGTTCAATGCCATCCTCAGCTTAAATTCTTGGGCAGAATGGGCAATTTAAAGCCTGACTCAAAAAATAAAAGTAAAAACAACATAAAGAGGCAGGAGAATCATCAGTTTCAGGCTATCCTGGGCTATATAGCAAGACATATTTCTTTGGTTAACTGTGGGGGAACTTGAACCAGAGGAATCAGACATAGTAGCAACTGTTCTAGCACTGATTAAAAACCAGTCGCCAATATTTTTGTTCCAGTGCTAATATGACAAATTATTATTCACAAAACAAAGCAGCCCTCATTATGAACATCAGTGGAGATATTATAAATATATACACATATTAGTTAGGACTAATGATAAGACTGAAAATACAGGTTAAAATTATCTGATTTGTAAAATATACATTTGCAATAATGAAAATTTCATGATCTCTGACTTCTTATTCATCTTTTCCCCAACATGTATATTATATTATATGGACTTTATATAGTTACCCACGTTAATCTCAATTAATCAAAACCAATTTTGTCCCACAATAAAAGACCTAGGACAATAATTTTCATTGGGATTATCCTCCGTAATAACCTTCATCTATATAAAGGACCCAGTCTTAGCTGAAAACCCATTTCTGAGTATTTTGTAAATATTCCTTTTGGTATTACCTCTCATAGTTAGCTTGTTTATTTCTTTACATTTTTGTTATACTGTAACTTAATTTATTTAAATGTTTTGTTGTTCATAAAAAATACTCATCCTCATGCCCTCCAAAAATCTGATTGTGAAAAAAAGAAAATACGGTTAAATTAAAAAACTGTACTTATTTGGAATGTTGGGACTTTTGCAAGTCTTCCCGTAGTAGTTCTAATAGTTTTCTCCTTTGTGAAAGAGGTGTGGTTCTTGATTATAATAAAACCTTGTGTTTTAACTGTTTTCTGTTACTTTCCAGTAAGAGCCAATCTCTAATTGCTCAAGTTCCCCGACAAGCTTTATTTTCTGGCTAAGGCTGATTTCTAAATGTAAATAGAACACCATTCAAGACAGCGTTTTACCAGTACTAACCATTTTGATATTTCCCGAGGCTCGTGGATGCAAATAAGAAACTGATTATTTTATTTTACAAAATAGAGGTGCTGGAAACAATTATAGTCACTTGTTCCTGTTGATGACGGCATAGGAAGTGCTGACCAATCAGAAGAGAAAGTCAAGAAAGGGCCAGCATTGTCCACACTAAATGTGTCTAAAGTGTTATACAATTTTTAGAAACTGTTTTTGTGGGAGATACCTAGTGATATCAGTTTTTCTGAGTTCTGGTGTTGCTTTGCTTGATGACAAAAGGCAAACACAGTAAAGTGTTATCATAATTTCAGTTTTAGCTATTAATAAATATGCACTTGATCCATAGTATTTTATTCATTTTAATTTAATATTTCTTAGGCCAGTGTTTTTGTTGTTGTTGTTTGTTTTTGTTTTTTTTTTGTGTGTGTGTGTGTATACAGTCTTCTGCCTGCATGCCAGCAGAGGGCACCAGATCTCATTCAAGGTGGTTGTGAGCCACCATGTGGTTGCTGGGAATTGAACTCAGGACCTCTGGAAGAACAGTCAGTGCTCTTAACTGCTGAGCCATCTCTCCAACCCTAGGTCAGTGGTTTTGTTAGGCATCCATAGCAAATTTAGGATATTTGATTGGAATAAATATATATATATATGTATATATATTTTTTTTTTTTGGTTTTTCGAGACAGGGTTTCTCTGTGGCTTTGGAGGCTGTCCTGGAACTCACTCGGTAGACCAAGCTGGTCTCGAACTCACAGTGATCCGCCTGCCTCTGCCTCCCGAGTGCTAGGATTAAAGGCGTGTGCCACCAACGCCCGGCGGAATAAATATTTTTTGAACCTGCTGGAGAATAACTAAATTTCTTTAGTTGATGTTATTGCTAGTCTCTCAAAATGTATTTTCCTATATATTTGATATACCTGTGACATAGCATGTAATTGTACATTTTTATATTTTCTATTCTAAGGTTCATGCATTTGCAAACATTGTATTCTATGCCAGCAACCTGGAAGGCTGAGGCAAGAAATACGAGTTTGTGTCTTACCAAGAATAAATAGGGAATTTAAGGTCAGTCAATGCAACTTAATTATCAAGACTGTCTCAAATTTCTTAAATTATTTTTATTAAAAAATTATTTATCATGCCGGGCGGTGGTGGCGCATGCCTTTAATCCCAGCACTCGGGAGGCAGAGGCAGGCGGATCTCTGTGAGTTCGAGGCCAGGCTGGACCAACAGCCTCCAAAACAATACAGAGAAACCCTGCCTCGTAAAAACCAAAAAAAAATTATTTATCATTTTATATATCAACCCCAGTTCCCTCTTCTTCCCCTTCTCCCATCCCCCTGCTTCCCCTCTTCCCACCCCCATCCACTCCTCTGTGGGGGTAATGCCTCCTATGGGGAGTCAACAAAGTCTGGCATACCAAGTTGAGGCAGGAAGCCCTTCCCCCAAGGCTGAGCAAAATATCCAGGCATAGGGAATGACCCTGGGTTAGGTCCTGGTGTCAGTTCCAGAGGATTCCTCCCCAACAGATCAAGTCACATAACTGTCACCCACATTTAAAATTTTTAAAAAAATATTATAAAAGCAAGGGCTGGGAGTTTATAGTTCCATGGTAGAAGACTAGCATAGAATATGCAGATTCCCAAGTCCAATTACTAACACCAGAAAACAAAAAGGGGGGGTTACTTTTTTATTTTAGTTTTGCTTTTTTGAGATTATAATAAAATGATATCATTGTTTTGTTGTGAGCCAAGGTGTCTTAGGCCAGGCTGGCCTAAAACTACATATGTAACTAATCATCCTGTCTCTGCCTTTCAAGTCATCATTGGAAATTAACCAATTATTGTCCTTATAATTATTCTGCCAAAGCATGTTAAATTATCTTTATCATTGGACTTGTCTCTGAACTCATTAGTTTGATACCATTTGCTTTATAAGAAAAAATAAGGGGGCTGGAAAAATGGCTCAGTGGTTAAGAGACTGGCTTCTCTTCCAGAAGTCTCTATTTCAATTCCTAGCAACTACAAGGTGGCTCACAACCATCTGTAATGGGGATCTGGTGTCCTCTTCTGGTGTGCATGGAGATAGGTCACTCATATACATACATTAATATTTTTAAAAGAAAGAAACAGGAAATGCAGGACACTGCAAATGAAGGAGGAACTCTGATTCTATGACTAAAACCAGGCCTAAGGATGTAGCTCAGTGGTAGAACACTTGCCTAGAATGTGCAAGGCACTGAGTTCAAACCACAGTAACAACAAATACCTGAAACTCTAAACCCTTGATCAAAATCATGAACTCATTCCTTGTCTCTGCAGCCCTTGTAATTTCATACCTTACAAGAGTACTCAAGAGAAGGCAAGCTCTACATGTTATGGTTCAGAGAATAACAAGTGATTTAAACCATGCTCTGTGGAAGGTAGAATAGCAGCTCTCTTAAAAGGTAGAGGCACTTCTTAGTATTACTGTATATAACAAAAATAGTAGATTCCATTAAGGATTTTGATTGGAGGACTTTATACGGAATTATACGATTATCCCTAAAGCCTTATATAACACTGTGGTTTCAAATGTGAGGCAGATCTGAGAAATATGCACAAAGATAAATGTTAGGAAGACTAAGATGCACTGTAAAGATGAAGTCACAAGTGGCAGAAGGTATGTGCAGCCACCAGAAACTGAAAAAGAAAAGGAACCGTTTCTCCTCCTAGCAACTCTTGAATGAGTATGGCCTTCCCAGACTTCAGACTTTCAGCCTCCAGAACTGCATGAAAATAACCTTTTAATGCCTGAAGTTACCAGGATAGCACTCAAGACTAAAGAATTTCTTGCCATTTGAGGCCATCCTGGTCTGCAAAGTGATTTCCAGGACACCCAGGGTTATGGAGAAACCCTGTCTTGAAAAACTCCCCAGGGTTATGGAGAAACCCTGTCTTGAAAAACTCAAAAAAAGAATTCCTTGCCCTACAAGGTCATGAAAGTGAAAAGGCCTTGGTTCAGAATAGTTACTTCAGGATATGAGGTTGCTTCTTCAGGGAGACTGTGTCTATGAAAAAAGAAAGAAAAGAAAAATAAGTGAGTAAATTGAAAGGTGGTGCTTTGATCCCTGAGACTACACCTTACCTTGGACAGTTGGGACAATTATCTCATAGCTATTTCTGCAGACTTCTGTCTAGGTCTGGACCATGTTCCCTTGCTTTGAGCACCATTCTTAGCTATAACTTCAATCATGGTCATCACAAAAATTTGTTTTGCAGTTTTAGATGTGTGATTTCCTGTCACATCCATTGCTCCTTCTAATGTTCCAACAAATTGTCATACAGCAAGAAGTACAAAGAAATCTGACATGCAGATTTAAACAATACTCAAAACATAGAGGTCCAAATAACCATAGATGAGAAGTTGATGCATCATTGTGACACCTTGAACAATAGAGAAGATATTCTTTTATTTTGTATACAGGGCCCTAAAGTGCAGCCAGGCTGGACTTAAACATTTGGCAACCATCCTGCCTCAGCCTTCTGAATGCAGTGATTTTAAGCATGAGTAATATGTCTGGCTTACACCTGAGTTATTAATATTTTCTTCTTTAATTTAGGCAAAATCCACAGTACACAGGAGAGATCTGAGAACAAAAACTGCCTAGCTGCACTCTCGGCTTCTTTTACAAATTCAATATGAAAGTAAACTTACATACCGAGTACAAGATTTTTGAAGAAGATAATATGACTCATGATATTTGCTGAAATAAAACTTCCCTGGGAAATGTAAACATACTAGTTATTGGACAGAGTATGCTCCTGGGCCTCAGAATGCTGCATAATAAGATCATGTAAGGACTCCACTTTCCCAGCGCTTATTGTCAAATACTGCAAACCTTCCTTTGTATAAGCTATGGCTCACTCAGCCTCACTAGTCCCAGACAGACCTCTGTGGATTGGTGCATTGGGGACTATATGCAAACCACCATCGTTTGCACAGTTTTAAAATTGGTCAACCCAATTAGATTTAAAAAATGATAATTTTGAAACCTACATTCTCAAAGCAATACATTTTCTTACAATCTAAATAAAACAGCCACATTCAGTTCGTATGTGAGTACCTGCATCCAGAACATAGGGCTGGCTATCCACATCTGTGAAATCTACATTCTTGGATTTGATCACTTTGGCGAGGGGAATATCGGTAGGGGAAAGGGCTGAGGGTGTGGCTCTGTGGTTGAACGGTTGTGAGGCATACTCAAGGCCCTAGGTTCACTTCTCATCATACAGTGATACACACATGTGTTTTAAACATGCAGATTTTTGTTATCCTTCAAATTACCGTAACTTTCTATAGCATTTATACACTCTAGAGATCATTTAAAGTCTTTTAGAAAATGTGCGTAGAGCGTATACGAATACCTTATCATTTTATGTAAGGAACTTGAGTTTCCAATTTTCCTATTTTTAGGGATCCTGTAATCAGGATTAGTCAGATTTTTTCCCTCAAGGATAACCAGGGATGTGTATATACATTTTTAAAGGGGCATGTAAGAAGTTGAATATTAAGACAAAAGCATGCCTCCAAGGTTTGGAATCACTTGTCTAGAACAGATAAAAGTGAATTGCTATGAGAAAGGCGCATCATGTGATACCTTGTAAGTTGATTTAAGTCGAACGAATTAAGGTGCATACTCTCAACAGAAGCAGGGTTGCGGGACTAGTATGTTAAGTCTCCTTTGGGAGGTAGAGAAGGCTTCCCTGAGAAGATAGCGCTTGAGCTGGGGATTTAAGGATTAGCAGAGGAGACTGGCAGGACATTCCAGAGGACACAGGAAAGAAAGCACAGAACACAAAAGAACATGACTGTCTAGCAGCTCTCAGTAGCCTAGCGTCTATATCAGGGGTTTTGGAGTGAGGTGACTTAAAAGTGAGCGGGGAATATTCCCCCCTCTCTCTATGGCCCATCTCCCTTACAGCTCATTGCTTAGGCCAGACTTACATACTTCAGGAACTCAGTTACAAGCACAATCGAGACAGGGTGGTTCAGCGTGCTGGTGTTCAAGGGCACCTGGGACTCGTTTTTCTCATACTCCCTCGGTGTGACCTTGGCTAAGTCCCTAGTCCTAAGGGCTACAGTTGTATTTATTTGGCTGTCATTCGGTTCTTGAGTGCGAGTGGGAAGCACAAGGAGGAGGTTGGCTGAAGCATCGGCCCTTCAAGCATCCCCGAATCCCGGATCACGTAGAGCACGAGGCCAGCCAGGTCGCCCTGGGCTTCAGCCACCTACATTCAGTTCCTCCTCCACTCCGGCAGGGGGCAAGGGCAGCGGCTCGGGGCCGCCGTGTAGCTGGCGGCGGCCGCGGGGCGGACCGAAACCGCAGCGGGCGGCGAGCGCAGTGGGCGGGGCGGCCGAGCCGGGCGGCGGCGCCGCAGTGACTCGCTGGGCCCGGCAGCGGCGGCGGCTTCTGGGGTTTCAGAGAAGCGGAGTGGGTGGGCGGCGGGTCCCTGCGGCCTCTAACGACTTTTGTGCAGAGCCCCTCACTCCTCGGGCGGCTGCGGTGGTGGGCACACCCAGGGGGGAGCGGCCACCGCGGACAGGTTAGCGTGGGGGAAGGGGCGAGCGCCAGAGTAGCCCATCTCCAGCCCGGGAGTCCGAGGCGGCCGGCCGGCCCATCTCCCACCATGTCGGACGAGACGTCGGCCACCACTTCCTATGAGAAGTTTCTAACCCCAGAGGAACCCTTCCCACTCCTAGGAGCCCCTCGTGGGGTGGGCACCTGCCCCAGCGAGGAACCCGGCTGCCTGGACATCAGTGACTTCGGCTGCCAGCTCTCCTCCTGCCATCGCACGGATCCGCTCCATCGCTTTCACACCAACAGGTAAAGGAGCTCTTTCCAGAGCAGGGGCAGACTTCCCGCAGCCCCGCAGGCGGCCGGAGGACGCCGGGTCGCGCTCCTGCCTTCTACTCCTGGTCCCTCGTGCTGGGCTGAGCAGCGAGCTGCCCCCTCCCCCATCTTCCTTTGACCAAAGCTCGTTCCAGCTCCTCCCAGTTTTCACCCCCTGCCCTCTGATTTTTCCTAAGACCGGCTTCCCCGCGCCTCGTTTCTTCTCCCCCTTTCCTCTTTGGACTCTAGTGATTCCTCTCTTCTAGATCAGATCGTCTCTTTACCTCTTCTTGACCCCTGCCCCCAACTGTACGCTGAGAATCCTAAACCCCAACTCTTGATTTTTAGGTTCATCTGTAAAAGTTTAACCCCTTTTATTTTCGGTACACTATAGACTAGATTTAAGAGCCCAAAATCGATCTGTGGATTTTATGTAAGAAAGCACTTTTACCGCTCGTTACCTCCTCTTTTCTCAATTTTTAACCTGGCCCTAAACCAAATTGTACCGGAGCATTACAATATTAGTCTCCCTCCCCTGCCCCCTCTTGTTGCTTTGAAACCAGGATCTCCTGTAGGTTATGTAGTCTATAGGCAAAACTGGTTATGCAGTGAGGATGACCTTGAACTCCTGAACCCGGGCCTCTGTCTCCCAGTTTCTGGGATTACAAATATTTGTGATGTCCAACTAAGCTAACTGTAATTTATTCAGTTCAAATTTATGATTTTTTTGAATCACTGTGGATTGATAGCAATCATTCTGCCTATGAACTATACCCTTAACCTAGAAACTAGTCAATTTTTCCTCTCCTTTATGAACACCTTGCCTATCATTGGCTATCCCCAAATGTAAACTTTGGAAGATTCGTTCCTAAAACATACCACGTGGTTTGCATCCCTGGTAAGGGAAGTAGAGCAAGTGTAGGATGGACTGATTTGTACAAATAATTTCTTCAGAGGGTTCATGTAAATTATTATATTGGAAGGCAGTGTTCTGGACATGCAAGCATTTAAGTGTTATATCTAGTTTGGGCGATTTGAAAGGGGTTGTCAATTCGGCCTCAATGTTGAAAATGGTTTACTTTATTTTAAAAACTGTGTCTGTGTATGTGTGTGTCTGTGTTGGGGGTGGGCATATGCTTGTGAGTACAGGTGTCTATGGAGGCCAGAGACCTCAGACTCCATGGAACTGGAGTTACAGGTGGTTGAGAACAGCCAGTATGTGGATACTGGGAAGAGAATTTGGGTCTGCTTCAAGAGCAGTCCATGCTCTTAACCATGAAGCCATGTGTCCAGCCCCTCAACTTTATACACACCAACATGCACACGAGAGCTGGTAGAGTGTGAATGAGAGATGAGAACATCCGACTATGTACGGATAATAGAGATAAGGAATGCAGTTCTGGTTTCTGATCCAGGTTTGCTATGTGTGTTTGGTTACATCCATCTGTAGTATTTTGCACATATTCCCCTCCAATCCTTAAAGCAATCTGTCTTTACTGTGTAACTCATGTTTTTACATATATATAATGAGGGTTTAAAAGGTAAATTTCCAAAAAAACAACAAAAATACAAAACAAAAAAGGTAAATTTACAGTATTGGGAAACAATATTATAGCAAAATAATCATTTAGAATTAAAACTAGATGACAGTGAGTTTTTTACAAAAAATGTAAATCTTTATTGCACACAGAAGAAACTGAGGCCCAGAGAGAAAGACCATAATTCCTAGTCAGATACTTTGAGTCATAGACTACTCCTTTGGAGGCAGTGATACAACTTGGATTAGAACTAAAGGAATCGCTGGGCACGGTGGTGGATTCCTTTAATCCCAGCACTCGGGAGTTTGAGGCCAGCCTGGTCTACAGAGTGAGTTCTAGGATTGCCCAAACTGGTACATAGAGAAACTGTCTCACAAAAAAAGAACTGAAGGATATAATGGTATCAGTGGTCACAGAACTTACATGCATGGAAAACTGACAAAATTAAGTGTGCTTAAGGCACTTAATTTTTGAAGCACTAAATGAAGTTATGTACCCAGTAAATTTAAATAATTTCAGAATGTGCTGTCTCTGGTAATTGCGGATAAGCACGGCCAAAATCTGGTTACAGTAAGGGAAGGGGTGAGAGGTGAGGAGCTGGGGAGATACCTCCGTGGTTAAGAGCATGTACAGCCAGGGCTGTTACATAGAGAAGCCCTGTCTCGAAAAACCAGAATAAAAGAAAGGAGAAAAGGAAAGAACGTAAGGAAAGGAAAGAAAAAAGGAGGCCTGCTCTGGAAAAGCACACACATTCTTTCCCAGCATTCAAGGCTCCTATTAAGGCTCGGTTTTCTGAAACCAAACATCATTTCTCCTAATTCCTGTCTGCTTATTTCAGACAGGGTCTCATACTGTAGTCTAGGCTGGGCTGGAACTTGAGACAGTTCTGTCCTGGTCTCCTGAGTACTAGGATTGACGTAAGAGCTACCAAACCTGGATTGACTGTTTCATTTCTAATGTTCCTTTTCAACCCAACTTTTCACAAGACTTGGAACAGTAAGCAGGAATCCCAGCTGTGTGTTATTTTTCATCGGAAAGTAGGTGAGAAAGGAGTTGGTAATATTTGTACAATGAATTTTTGCCCTAGACTGCCTTTTTGTTATTATTGTTGTTGCTTTTTTTTTTTTTTTGGTTTTTCGAGACAGGGTTTCTCTGTATTGTCTTGGAAGCTGTCCTGGAACTCACTTTGTAGACCAGGCTGGCCTCGAACTCACAGAGATCCACCCGTCTCTGCCTCCCGAGTGCTGTTGTTATTTTTAATGTGTGTTTGTTTGGCTAGATGTTTGAGATAGGGACTCATGTAGCCAAGGGTGGCCTCCCTGTCTCTGTCTCAGGTATTGAGATTATAAGCATAACTTGACTTTTTTCTTTCCTTTTACTTTTATTTACTTTTTTATTTTTTCAAGACAGGATTTCTCTGTATTGTTTTGGAGGCTGTCCTGTAACTCGCTCTGTAGACCAGGCTGGATCTGAACTCACAGAGATCCACCTGCCTCTGCCTCTGCCTCCTGAGTGCTGGAATTGAGCTGGCATGTGCCACCATGGCCTGGTTCTTTTCTTTGTGTCTTTCTTCTTTTTTTTTTTTAGCAAGTTTTATTGATCTGTAGCCCAGGCTGGCCTGGACCTCACCATACAACTCAGGTTGGCCCTTAACTCATAGAGTTCCTACTTCCCCAGTGTGAGCCATCATACCTGGCTTGCGTTCATTTTCAATCTTTTCTTCTTCAATGTTCTGCCTTCTTGCTCTTCGACAACATGGTGTTTGAGGAGATCATATGCTTGCAGTCCATTGTTTTCAGAGAGAAGGGAACAACTAAGTCATATATATGTGAGCACAATTTAATTTGGTGAGTTCTTTTATATTGGAATTGTATGCATCACTGATTTTCTTCACATCATTTGCCAAGTCATGCCACAGTCCATATACCACATGTGAATACTTGAGTATGAAAATTTGACTTAAAATTTAGTCATTATAAAATTAACTTTATTGCACGTAGAAAGTTTGTCAATGGTTAGATATTTGGTTTATCTTTATTTTGCTTCCTGTTCGTTACCAGATAAGAAAATGACCAGACTATTTAAAGAATGCCCTTGATAAGGACCTTGTAATGATGACAGTGTGTGCCTTCTCATTTATCAGATCCCAGGCTGTGTCTACGATCTCATTAACCCAGGAAGTCAGGGCACTAGTACTAACGGCCTCTAAGGTTGGATCTCATCTGTGACATAGGTTGTCATACCAGCAGTCTAGATTTGGGGGAAAGTAAACTCCTTCACAAGTAAATGCCTTTATTAAGGAACTCACTGTCTGGCTAGTTGCAATGGCATCTTTTCTCCCTCGTGCTGCTTTTCTTAAATTACAACAGTTTGCCTAGAATTTTAGAAGAGTAGAATACATTTTAATAAGTCAAAAATGAGACTTATAAACAAAATGTCAGTGTTATATATGCATGTTTAAGACATTTTCTTTTAGTGAGGTTTGTTCATTGTAAAAAGAGGTTTCATTTACCTACCTTTCTATCTCTTGCTTCCTTCCTAACTATTGGTAATTCCTATGTCTCAAATATAAGATGAAAAAGGATAATAAAACCAGCAGATGAGTTCCCTTCATCTTTCATCGACATAAACTATTGTGAAAAGTGTGTGGGTGAGGACAATACCTGACTTTTGTGTACCTTTCTGGCAGGATGTGAAATGAGCTACTGAATATATCAATGACTCAGTTGGGTGATTGCTTCTTACAGAACTAGAGATTGTTCTAGAGCCTCATTCATGCTAAGCAAGTACTCTACTACTATTATATATTCTTTGCCATATTTTTTTGTTGATCTTACAGGATCATGCTGAGTTATACAGGCTGGCCACAAAAATTTTCTTCTTTCTGCACCTCCTCAGCAGTTGGGATTCCAACTGTGTACCACCAAGTCCAGGCCCATATCAGCTGTGAGATTTTATAGCCACATATTTAGCACCACTGAGTACAAAAATCTCACTATCTGTTTTCTATCTTCTTTTCCTATTTTCACTGTAGAGGATAATGATAGTTAAGGAATGCACTCTAACGTGGACTGCATCCCCGTCTCCAGTTTTGTGTCTTTTAAACCACCTGCAGTTTTCCCATGTAGGCATGGACCTGAAGGTGCATTGGGCTTGTGTGGCAAGTACTTTATCCCATCTTGATAGCCTCATGGGTTTTTTCGTGTTTTTTTTTAAGGAGTGAAAGTTCTTTTATTCCTGCAGCTTACCTCCCAAGCCTTTGTTATGTGCACACATCAATACTCTGCCCTAGGTGTCTTTTCAAAATATCATGTATGGGATAAAATTCATCTGCCACTTCTTCGAATTAGGTTGTAACTAGTCACCATGGAACCTCTGGCTTAGGCTCTCCAATGACTAGTTTCATGACTGTATGTTCAGTAAAATGGATAGCTGGGATTTATTTTAACTAGTATC